TTTTTTTTTTTTTTTTTTTTTTTTTGTTTTTTTGTTTTTTTTTTTTTTTTTTTTTTAACTTTAAATAATTTAAATATATATGTCTTAAAATAAAATAAATAAAAATAAGTCCATTAAAAAATTATTCAACGAAATGGTGATCAATTTATTAAACAAATAATAGATTAAATAATAAACGAAATAAATAAAATAAGTAAAATAAATAAATATATATATATATTAATGTAAATTTAATGATGACTTGGGTTTCTTCCTACATGCGTCCCAACTCGAACCTAAAAATAATAAAGATATAATGACTAAAAATTATCGGCAAAATATCGCATATAATTAATAAAAAAACTTACCAAAGTTTCCAAACATTGTTTTGAATTTGCTAATATGTCATCATCAAATACCGTTTTACCTTTTTGGAAGAGGAGAATAATTGTACTGCCACCTAAACAATCAAATAGTCATAAGTATATTATAATATTTTAGAATAATTATGAGTTTTCAAATATATCACTAACCAAAAGCAAAATATCCATGTTCATCCAATCTCTTAACATCTGAAAATGGTTTACTACAAAGAAGAATTATTTTAATTAAATATTATTTTAAAATTGAGAAAAAATTTTACTTTTATAATAATTTTATGAAATTAATTAATTACCTTGTATAAACAATAGATCCCACCATCATTGCACCTACAGCTACAAAAGCTACTTTGCCAAATTTCGGTGAATCTATATAAGTTATAGAGCGTTTGTTTTCTCCATATACATCAAGTCTAAGTTTATTTTGTTTATGTTAATAACAAAAAAAATTTATAAATGAAAAGAAAATTATGGTCATACGGTAATAAGAATTATTTACTCTGAACGAATAGCCATAGGATTAACAGTATAGTAGTCACCAGCAATAGGTTTATTTTCACCAATACGACCATCTACTGGAAAATGAAACCTTTTTTAAAAAAGCATAATTTTTAGGACGATATTTGTTATATATACAATTAATCAATTTTAACCATTTTATTCATAACTACCTGTGATAATCTTGAGGAGCCAATCTAAAAATCCCCAAGCTACCACCTTCAAATTCCTTGGCAGCACTTTCATCGCCTAACAACCTTTGAATAGAAAATTGTTGACCTTTAATCCATAATTCGATTGATTCATCGATTGTTGGGAAAGCCATCATACGACAATCAGCCGGGCTAACTAAAATACTAGGATCATTAGGGAAATCCAATTTTCTAGCTTCAGGTTTCAACTTGCGATAAAAAAATTCATTGAAATTTTTAAATGACTCGATGGGATCAAGAATTTCATCTCTGCTAAGATTATGAAATTCAATAAATCCATTTATGTCTTTAACAGATGCGGGATGATCATATTTTTTGCCTTGTTTAACTGAAAGATTTTCAAGAAGGGTTTTGGCTATAATTATGTATATAAAAAAAAATTAGTTTAAAAGGAATAATATATATATATATATATATATATATATATTATAGATGTTTTAATCAATATTATAAATAATTACTTCTTTTAGAATCAACATTTTTAAT